TTCCCCCCCTTAACGGCGCCCCTTCTAGGAGGATGGAGCTCTTTCTCTCTGAGAGCTTTATGCTCCAGACTGCAGGAGCTGACTGATAAATTGGCTGTAATGCTGGAAGGACACTCCTGCCTGTTTGAGTCTCATAGTCCTTCACATGTGACCACAGATCCAGCAGGAAATTACATTGATCAGCGTGACGGTTAGTGTAATTTTCACTGAAGGGGAAAGATGTGTAGCTGCACACAGATGTGAACAGCTCAGTGTAATTTTCACCAGTCGTTTTATCAAACTCTGATGCTGAAATAATCAGATTCAGCAGAAACTGGACAGACCTTTTCTTCTCATAGAAAACAAAGGGATCAAATCTGTGGAGACACAAATGTAAACACACTTCAATGTCTAGTGCTGGATAATATGAAATATGGGAGCAGATTCATAATTACAACATTCAGCTTTACAATAATATTAAAAAGACAATTAGGTTTATGACACTGATCTGTATAATGACTCTATTGCTCATTGTGTTCTAAACTGCTATTCAGCGGTGAAGCGGTTAAACTGCTATTCAGCGGTGAAGCGGTTAAACTGCTATTCAGCGGTGAAGCGGTTAAACTGCTATTCAGCGGTGAAGCGGTTAAACTGCTATTCAGCGGTGAAGCGGTTAAACTGCTATTCAGCGGTGAAGCGGTTAAACTGCTATTCAGCGGTGAAGCCACCGGAAGTGTTTGAGCCACCATCTTACTATTCTCTACCAGCAGACAAAGACCTGACACTAAAGACAAAACACTGACCTAAAATCACCAGATTTGAAGCATAACAGTCGCACAGAATTAGTTTTTAGGATATGTGTATGTAAATTAATTGTTATTTCAGATGTTATCTGCAATGTTTATGGTGTTTTCGGGCAGGTTAAGCGATATATTGAAATTGTTAAGGTGGGTGTGTGTCTGCTGTGCACTACCGACAGAGGAAACTGATACAACACAAAATATATTTATTTATGTACGTAATTAAGCAGGAAATATTAAACATGAACATACAGGTGCATCTCAATAAATTAGAATGTCGTGGAAAAGTTCATTTATTTCTGTAATTCAACTCAAATTGTGAAACTCGTGTATTAAATAAATTCAATGCACACAGACTGAAGTAGTTTAAGTCTTTGGTTCTTTTAATTGTGATGATTTTGGCTCACATTTAACAAAAACCCACCAATCACGGGACAGAGTCTGACATAACGCCCCCCTCCGGAAGGATAACTTTGGCTGTTCACAGAGTGCTGTATCCAAGCATGTTAACAGAAAGTTGAGTGGAAGGAAAAAGTGTGGAAGAAAAAGATGCACAACCAACCGAGAGAACCGCAGCCTTATGAGGATTGTCAAGCAAAATCGATTCAAGAATTTGAGTGAACTTCACAAGGAATGAACTGAGGCTGGGGTCAAGGCATCAAGAGCCACCACACACAGACGTGTCAAGGAATATGGCTACAGTTGTCGTATTCCTCTTCTTAAGCCACCTTAAACTACTTCAGTCTGTGTGCATTGAATTTATTTAATACACGAGTTTCGCAATTTGAGTTGAATTACTGAAATAAATGAACTTTTCCACGACATTCTAATTTATTGAGATGCACCTGTATTGTTTAAAAAAATATTTAAGTTAAATACATTACATTTATTGTGAGCACTGAATACAATAAGCATGGGTGGTCTTTTTCCTATAAGAGTCTCACCTCAGCTGTGAGATGTAGGGCAGACACTGCAGGAATCCCTTCACTTCACTCTCTTCATCTGTGCAGTCTATCAGCTCTACTGGTTTCTTCTCTGTTTGGAGTTTCAGCACTTTTAGGAGGATGGAGCTCTTTCTCTCTGAGAGCTTTATTCTCCAGACTGCAGTGGTATGAGAAATGAAGTATTATTATAAGCAAACCAAACGCTAAAAACTATTTTTTTGTTGTTGTTGTTTTAAATATCTAATTTATCTCACCATCCACTGGTACTGGTGTTTCCTCACTGGGTTTGCTGGTGTCTCCTTCTCCATAGACAGCAGAGACTCTGACTCTACAACATGTGCTGTGAGGTAGAGTTAAAGTACATTCACACTCAGGTCCTTGTGTTTGTACTGATGACCAGCCCTCCAGTCCTGCTTCTTTATACTCAACCATATACCGCAGCACTGGACAATCTTCTCCTGTTTCAGCCTTCAACCAGGCAAGTCTGAGCGTGCTTCTGTTCAACTTATTCACAAAGGGTTGTCCATTTATTGGTGAAAATGCTGTCTTAATGTTAATAATTCTGCTAAAGTTGCTCATACAGTCCTGCTCAATAACTGAATACCTCAGCTGATACTGTTTGCCTGACTTTAGATCTGATATTACACAGGTTTCTTTAACAGATTTGGAATCAAAAATGATCTGTTTCCATGTGGTGTTGTTCATTCCATCACCTAAAGCCCTGTACTGTATGACATACTTCTCAATATTTCCGTTTTGTTTTTTATTAATTTTTAGGGACACACTGTTGTGTTTTATCTGAGATATCTGGGTAAGATCTGTCTTTCTTTGAAGGTTTAGATTTCTGCTCACAATTCTCCCTTCATGATAAAACTGCACAGAAAATTCTGAATAACCATCATCAGGTACAGATGCAGCAATGAATTTGGTTTGCTTTGGATCTTCATTTGTCTCTTTGGCAGCAATGAATACTTTTAGGTCAGAAAGTACTTTCTCATTGATACAAACAGGCTTCAGTGGCTGCAGTGAATCTTCTAGGTTTATGCGTTTAGATATGATCAATGTGCTCTTTTTCATTAATTCAATGTGCTGCTTGAGAACTGTGAGGAAGGAGTCTTCAGCCTCCATTGATGAAGTGAAGCAGAACACACTGCTCATCAGAGGATCATTGATGACTCGCTGAAGCTCCTCCTGTGATTTCACAATAGTTATGTTTGCTGCTCTGCACCCATTTAAAACTACCAGCTCAGTTTCCTTCTTCTCAAGCCAGTGCTGTGTGTTTTCTTGACTGAATGGAGACTGATCACAGTTACTGATAAGTTCTTGTAAATTCTTCTCTCTCTCCTCTTCATTGGTGTGTTTTGACTCAATAATCTTAGCAGTTTTTCTCTGAAACTCTGTCCTATAATCTTGCAGAAATTCTGAAAAGTTCTGAAGTTTTTCCGTCAAAGCAGGAAACCAAGTAATTACTGTCAGATTATCATAATCTGTTATCATGTCCTGACACATTCTGATCTGTTTTCTCAGATGTTCCAGAATGTTCTCAGCTTGATGCATCAAGGTTTCACTGACTCCACTCAGAGCTACATGCACAGAGCTCTTGTCCAGTTTCTTCAGAGGGTACAGCCAGACCTTCAGAGGAACTGCTCTCTCACCTTTAGATCCAATCAGTGTTGGGAGAGAACCATAGATCTCCAACGCCTTATCAAAAGACGCTGGGCTCTTCCAGTCACCCAGATCAGTGTATAGACTGCAGTCATATAAAATGGTGTTAGCCTTTTCATTTTCATTAAGACTTGAAAACACATCCCTTGCACTAAGGGTGGTGGTCATCTTCTTGATAACATTTTCCATTTCTGTATTTTTCTCTGAGCTGATTCTCTCATTATCAAAAACAAAGAAGGCTTGGGCTCCATAGAACACTGCGATGATCACGTGTGTAGCTGTGGCTGCATTAATGACTGAGGCAGGAGCTCCTTCCTGTAAGAGTCTTTGGCTGATCATGTCCAGTCTGGTGGTGGTTTTGTAGTGTACTGTAACTCTGTCCTGATGTCGAGACTGAACTGGGTGATTCAGAAATGCTGCAGCTCCATTTAGCTCCATCAGTCCACACAGAGCCTTTACTCGCAACATTGGTGACATTTCAAATGCTCTGCACCTCTCCTGAAGGGAGTCGTCTTCCAAAACCTTTAGATGTGTTTTCAGTTGGGGCCAAGATATTCTGTCACTTGTTAAAGTGTGGTTATCCCAAAGATGACTGTCTGTAAACACATTCACAGCACATTCTACTTCAATTTACTTGTGTACAAATATTTTCAGTTACACATACAATCAACTCACATCACAACAGCCTAGGAGGAGTGAGAATGGAATTTTGTAATGTTTATAAAATCATAAAGTCAAACAACATACCACTTTTATTTAACAAACTCAAACCGTACACAGTATTATTAGTAGCAGCTTTACGTAGAGGACAAAATAATAATTTCCCCACTCAAGTAAAAGTGCAATACGTAGGATGGAAATTAACATGAACATGTTTTCATTACATTTACATTACATACTGTTTTACAATGTGTATTTACATTACTAATGACATGTAAAGCTAATGGTCATGGTAAGTGAACAGGCTAGACCAACCTGAAATGAAAGATTCATTGCGCTGGTCATACAACATTCCAAGATCCAAAGGACGACCAAGAGCTGCAACCTCAGTTACATCCATAGGCAAATCTGTGGATAATTTGGGGAAAAAGTGCACATTATTACATCTAGATGACTGGTACAGGTGCATCTCAATAAATTAGAATGTCGTGGAAAAGTTCATTTATTTCAGTAATTCAACTCAAATTGTGAAACTCGTGTATTAAATAAATTCAATGCACACAGACTGAAGTAGTTTAAGTCTTTGGTTCTTTTAATTGTGATGATTTTGGCTCACATTTAACAAAAACCCACCAACTCACTATCTCAACAAATTAGAATACTCCATAAGACCAATAAAAAAAAACATTTTTAATGAATTGTTGGCCTTCTGGAAAGTATGCTCATTTACTGTACATGTACTCAATAACTTGGTAGGGTCTCCTTCTGCTTTAAAATGAACTTTTCCACGACATTCTAATTTATGGAGATGCACCTGTATTTAGAAAAGCCCTTGAAAAACATTGTTAAACAAAAAATATATTTTGAACCACAACATATGCAGAAAAACTGCAGTACATCTGTTTGCCTGGATTACAAGATACCATAATAAGTATTGCACTCTTTCTTAGTTATATTTCACAAAATATATATACAGATGATACTCAACCAGAATGAGCTTTTTACCGCTGTGGCGTCTGCAAAATGCATTTGCAGCTTTTGACCGCTGAGTGGCGATTTAACCACAAGTTATCAGGCGAACGCATCGAATCGCATTTTCACAAATAGCAGTCAGCTTTGCCTCACCAATATGTTACATTTGACGACTACAGTCAGTGGAAAACTTAAGAAAAACACTTTAGTTAAAATAATTCATATTCACAGAAGCAAATTTAGTACTTATCAAGTTATGTGCTTTTGTTATTTAGAACGAATTCAAGCAGGATAAATGTCAAGCCTGTGAGCGTGCTTATATTTAAGATACACAGTACTACACGGTATTTTAGATTTTACACAATTAACAGGTGTGCAGTATTATTTATATAATATGAATCACGTGTTATATTACCTTAAAAAAATGGTGGTTTACTTTGCATCGGAGCATTAAAAGTGGTAGCCTGTTCAGTAGGCTACATACATGGATTTAAATGTCAATATTCTTACATTACTTAATTTTTGTCACAAATACATTTTTTCATTTATATTTTAAAATTCCTTTAATAAAACGGCATACATTTCTGTCATGCACACTTTGTTATTCGTTACCTGTCCTTTATTTTGACAGAGAACGTGGGAAAAAGATCCACGAAATAAGAAACTGTTGCCTTTTTTTATTAATTCTTTCATTCGTTTTAGTAAAACGTGAGGCACAAAAATTATGTTATTTAACAAAAACAAGAAACGAATAAATAAAACCTGGCCATGATTTAGCCAAATCAATGAAACTGAAAAGAATGGACAGATTAATGAAAAAAAAAAAAAATTGCAGCTGCATTTAAATGCAGGAGTGTAGCCTATCCGTTAAATTATCACTAACAAAATTTGAGATGACTGACAGTGATAACCGTATCAACAAAAATATCAAATTTCAACATTTAAACAAATAAAAAAAGATCAAATAAATATAATAATTACAGAAATAGGCTACATTTATCTATGTAATAATGTGAGGAAGCTGCATTCCTTGTATAAATGACAAATGACTAAAACTAAAATAAAAAATGTAACATCCTATCTAAATAGTATTATTTTAAATATAAAATTAATATTTTTAAGAAGAGTACTGAAACTAAAAATGATTACATGAAGTCTCGTACAGTTTTATTATAGGTCTGCATGTAGCTATTCCCTGTGCAATTTGGTGTAGCCTAAAATGATAATAAAATGATAATAAAATGCAATATATTTTTACATTTGTAGGCTGTTGCCAAAAGAACTGCAGAGTTGCCACATACAATTAAAACAGTGCAAAATGAAAATGAAGAGTTTAGATGCAAAAGCCTCCAAGTGCCATCTGAAATTTTCTTCTAAAATTAGCATTTTTATCAGGCTCCTATGTTTAGGTTCAGTAATTTTACTTTAATGGCAATGTATAGGTCCTTTTCTATGCCATTAAAGTGAAATAAATGAACATAAATATAGGAGCCTGATAAAAATGCTAATTTTAGATGAAAATTTCAGATGGCACTTATAGAGGCTTTTGCATCTGAACTCTTCAAATAGTACAAAGCAGCATAACATAAAACAAAAGTTTCTGTCTCTCTCGTGAACGCGCCATGTCTCTCATGAAACAAAACAAAACCAAGCAACTCTGTATATGTTGCATGCCAACTGCAAAAGCCAAACCAAACGAAGCATTTATCCTGAAACAGATACTTTGCCTAAACCTGCTCTGTGAGTTTGAAACACTCATCAGCCATTAGTGCTCAGTGTAAAATGGACACGCTCTATCTAAAAGAAAAAAAATGGTGTAACATAAACCAGTGTGTTTTAGAACTGCAGAATACACACAAATCTCTATTAATCATTTTATATATTATTTTTATTATTAAAAAACACCCCAATTCTGGATTTAAACCCATGTAATTGATCGCTGATAACGTTACCACTCGACTACGGATTAACTTGGCAAACCAAGTTCCCTTTTCCAGCGTGTTATTTTTCAACCTTACATAAAAATTATTAATATAACAAAAATACATTTTCGCTGTTATACTGAACAAAATAGCATATAATTGTAAAATTACCACTGATTTATTTCATTATTGTTTATCTTTATTTACAACAAGTGAAAATGTCAATTCCAGTGTTATTGAGCAGTGGTGTCAACCATCCCTTTGCGCCACCTGGTGGTGATTTCGCGAACGAGCTTCACGTAGGTTTTATTTGAACCCGTGGCCTTGAGGCAGAGGTACATGCAGCGGTGATAAGCATTTTGGTTGTACCTACTGTATAAAAATTCAAACAAATCACAGATATAAACTTTCAAAATATATCATGCTTTCTGTAATTTCCTAATTGTGGAGCCATTCAAGTGCCACATAAGAAGCAATTCATAAATACTGTAAAAATAATGAACCTGAGGTGAGCTCATTAAGTTGGGCTAAGATTGTGTGTATTGTCATCTTGTAACATATTTGATTTCAATTTATACTATTTACATATACTCATTTAGGAGATGCTTTAACCCAGTTACTCAAATACAAGATATTTCTATTTATTAACTGAAAGGATGTCAAATATCAAGGTAGCTTAGTCAAGTTACTGCTAAAATAATCAATTTGTGATATTACTGTGAACTGCTGTAAATAAGCTGGTAAGAGGAGTATCATAACATACCATTAGTGGAAAATCCACTGTAGAAGCACTTAGTTGGATGAGAATATTCCATTTTTTCATCCCTTGAAATCTAAACCAAAACAAAGAAAATATGCAAATATTGTCAGAAATACAAGTGATTGCTGTATGATTGTATGTGTGTTTCAAAGATCTTTGAATCACTACAACTCAGAAAATGTTGTTGTCAGCTTTCTGATCTCTTCTTTTACCTCATCAATGAATGCAAAATCAAGCTTTTTGATCTCCTTGGTGTCCTTACTGTCTTGTATTAACACAGTAGCCTAGACAAAGCAGAATCAGTAGTTTAAGCTAATTTACAAAACATTCTAAGCAAATCAACTTACGTAAAACTAAACTACAAGTTTATTTACAAGTTGTATAGGTAAAATCTAAAAGTCAATAAAACTCAGAGGTCAACTGAAAATATCTAAAACACATTACTCTTGTTAACACTGTTATAATCAATGAACAAAAAATCTCTTTATTTGATCTATTTTTAAGTATTTGCACCATGTGTACACTATGTTGACTATAATGCAAGCTTTCACAAGAGTGCAGAAAATGGCCTGGGCAATCACATTCATTCAGCGCGTAAAAAAAAAACGCTCTGATGCTCTCAGAGCATGTGGACATGATTTCTCAGAGCATGTGGACATGTATTGTAAAGCTAGTTTTTGAATATCAGCAGCAGGTGATGTTTCTTCAGAAGTTGTTTTCATGTGCCTCCATGAATAAACATCTGCGGATCAGGCAGCTCTCTAAAAAAGACCAGGAAACGATTATTCTTGCATTTATAACATCAAGGCTAGACTATCATGATTCCTCTATTTGGATTTGCTTAAATCTGCTCTAAATGTGAGCACATTAGTCCTGTGCTTGCCTCTTTACACTGGTTTAAAAATGAATAGCAAAATGTAAAAATTGAATAAAGTGCTTCATAAATAAATAAACTAACATTCTAAAACCTCACTCATTAGGAATGCTTTGTCATTATTGATTGGTTTATGGACTCTAATTAGTCATTACATTTGTGTACTCAAAGCACTGTCTGTGACTGGTTACAATCAAAAAATATTTAGATAAAAACTTTAGATGTAGGAGTAGATCGAAACAGAATGCAGTAATCAACACATTTCATGATTAGATAATCTAGGACACATAACTGTAACCAAAATTACTTTTTAAATGAACTGTGCAGCAACTGTAGCTATTTATTCTGCCACAAATGTATATGTAATTTTACAATCACCTCCACCAGGTTGTGTCTCTGCAGTGCTGGTACTGTGTAGTGTTGTCTGACGTGTGTCTCACAGTAAGATGCAGTGCAGGTCAAACAGGATTTAACAGCTTTGAGCTTCATCTCAGTGCAGATATCACAGGGCACATCTTCAGGTCCAGCGTAGCAGTGAGCAGGAAGAGCAGGACTAAACCCTGCCTTCTGGAGTTCCTCAATCAGTTTAGACAAAGCCACATTTACATTCAACACAGGACGATCTCTGAACCTCTTTCTGCACTGAGGACAAGCGTAAGCTCCAGCTTGAGTTGGCTTGCTCCAGTAGATCTCAATGCAGTGTTTGCAGTAACTGTGTCCACAGGGCATGGAAACTGGATCCTTGAAGACCTCTGTGCACACTGGACACTTGTAGTGATCCTCTGTCAGCAGAGTGGCTGAAAGTGTGCTGTAGAAACATCTGTGGTTATTACACATTCAATAATCGTAAATAAACACAGTTACGACTCAGTACACAGTAAGGGCACTGCACTTTGGCATTTTTAAGACCTGGGACAGTCTTGCGCTCTTACTTCCTGTTGCGTGCACTAGGGGTGTATAATAATGACAAAAAATTATATCTCAATATTTTCTGGAATTTTGTGGATAACGATAATTAGACAATATTTTGTTGAGCGTGTTATTGTGCTGGTACTTTGGCAGGTTTAGGACTGTGGTGGACAGCTGAATCACAAAGGTTTGATATTCTTGGTGTGTGGTGGTTAGTTTGCAGCAGTAACAGAAATTACCTTTTCCAATCCGTTTAAATATTTTTTTACCTTTTATGGGCATTTTTACATGTGTAAGGCCAAAATGTATGCATTATCTTTTGTGTCTAATTCTTACATTCTAACCCTAAATTCAATAAATTCAACTATTTTCATTGGAGAAATAGAGCAAAAACAGTAGCTGTTGTATCTAAAATGTAAGTCAACTAATATTAACTTCTTGTTTGTTGAACTGTTGCATGAAATCATGCAGATATTTACAGAAAAAAATGGCACTCTTCGTTTGATATTGATTAACTATATCAGATTATATAAATATAAAAGACAAAGTCATATGGGGACATTTTTGCTCGCATATCTTGAATTTTGAGTTAATTCTTAATGTATTTTAATAGACTAAATCATGCAGTGAAAGTATCAACTTTAAATGTGCATGCGCAGTAGTCTAACCTACATCAAAGTGTATGCGTGCACTCTCTGGTTTATGTTTGGTTTTCGTGATATACTCGTTAATGTCAAATCGCATATTGTTAAAACAACAATTATGATATTATCGTAGACAATATATATTGCACACCCCTAGTGTGCATGCACTCTCAAGTGGCCAAGACCGCAAGTGTGGGTATTTGGACAGGCCCACTGTATTGGTGCCTATGTTTAAAAGATTTTTGGTCTTTTTAAAAGAACTATGAGTAAAATTAAATTCAATTGTATCAACAATTTAGCTTGTAAAAGTGACAACTGTAATTCTTCTTCTTCAGAAAATCTTTAGTTTTTAAGGATTAACATAATGTAACTTTATTATTTAATAAATACTTCATGCAATCCCGTACCTTCTGAGCCTGTAACTCTGTGCTTCATCCCTGAATGCGATCGGTCTGTCCATTGACTGCTCACTTTTTACAGACAGGAATGATGGTGCTGGAGATGGTGACTCATCTGGTCTCAGACTGTGAGGGTGAAAGAAAGAAACATACATCTTTCAGAAAAAGTCATCCTTTCCCATTTGCTTTTTCAGAATTACATAGAAAACATGACTTCAATATACTGAAAAGAGATTTGGATGAACTATGCAAGCACAGTTGTTTGATTTGTTAATAGGACCTCAAATGTACAAACACAGTGTTATCAAAAGCATGTGTCCAAGCACATATATATCCAATCAAACTTTTTTTTTGTACTTTTTAACACTGTAAGGTTGAGTTCTGTCTCTGAACGCAATCGGTCGATCCATTGAATTGTTGCTTTTTAAAGAGAAGTATGAGGTTGCAGGAGATGGTGCCTCATCTGGTCTTAGACTGTCAAAAAGAGACAGAAAATGTAAGTTTGACAGTGTACAAAAGACACAAAGTATGCAAAAAAAAAAAAAGATAGCTTTATGTCAAATTGTTCGTTTTTTTCTTTATTATGCAACAAGCACACCATTTAAAACAGTAAATTCTCATACTTTTCATACACAGTGTAACTAGGGGTTCCTTTGATGAACGCAATTGGCTGATCCATTGACTGATCACTTTTTATAGACAGGAGTGAGGGTGCTGGAGATGGTGTTTCATTTGGTCTCAGACTGTGAATGAGGTTAAGAACAAATTTCACAATGAAATACAAAACAAGGGCAAATTATTTCAGAATTTGGCATTTGTTAATTACAATAAATCCGTACAACTTATAAATCAGAACAACTTCTGTAATATTGAACAAAGACGACAATGCACACAGCAAGGATGGAGAGGAAGTGACCTCACTTCCTAATGGATTTTAGCTCTGTGTGTCTCACTCTCTCTTTCCTTTCCTCATAGGACCAAGGGAAGGGAGCTGGGTTTAAGGGCACTTTCACACTAGCATGTTTGCTGCGCATCCGGGTTCGATTGACGTCAGAGTTCGGTACGTTTGGCTAGTGTGAAAGCTGTCATGCGAACGCGGGTGCGCACCGGGGTACCGAACCCCAGACTACCTGAAGGAGGTGGTCTGAGTTCGATTGCACTCGAACTATGGCACAGTTCGCGTGAATATGAAAGCAACACGGACTTGGGTGCGCACTTGTTCAGGAAGTAAAGTAACCTGCGCATGCGTTTTAGCCGATGTATTTTCTTCAATAAAACACATATAAGTGATTATAGTGTTGCTGATTTACCTTGGATTTGAGCGAGAGTGAGCCTGCAGTGTATTCGCGTGTAGCAACTGCAATTAGAGCGGCAAATGAATGGTAATCCGCTGTCTCCTCAAAATATACATGTGTCTACAAGCGACACACATACAGTAAACCCATATGCCGTTAAATCTGCTGCGCATAATAGCACCAAATTAATTAAAAAACACAATATATTGACCCACGTTCTGTTTTCTATCATACGTTGTGCACGTTTGTGATGACGTAAGATCACCGCAAATGCACCGGGGTTCGATAGAATCAAGAGAGTGTGAAACCAGACCAACGCTGCGGGGGTGCCGGGAACAATCGCACTCGGGTTCGAACCACAGCAAACAAGCCCAGTGTGAAAGCCACCTAATATTAATTTAAAAGTTAGAAATACACACAAAGAGAACAATGGTATCACTTTCTCAACATTTGTTGAATTATTCTTAAAATGGATGTAAATTAAGTGTACAACAGAACAGTAGGTGCTTTTAAAATTTGTTCTGGGTTCTCAAATGTGAGACTCTCGGCCTGAAATTGTGTCCCAATCTGGCCTGATATACTGTAAGGAAATGTGGGAAATTTATGCAAGCATAGTTATTCGATTAAATATACAGTATATGCCAAAAAAGAATGTAAATTATCATACCGTTTAACACTGTAAGGTTGAGTTCTGTCTTTGAATGCAATTGGTCGATCCATTGATTGGTTGCTTTTTAAAGAGAAGTATGAGGTTGCAGGAGATGGTGCCTCATCTGGTCTACGACTGTCAGGACGAGACAGAAACTTTGAGTTATACAATGTACAAGAGACATACAAAATATACAAGGAAAGTATAGTACTCTGTCTAATAATTATCTAATACATATATTTTTTTAATTATGCAACAAGCACACCATTTGAAAAAAAAAACAAACAAAAAAAAAAACTGTAAATTCTCATACTTTTCATACCCAATGTAACTAGGGTTTTCATTGTTGAATGCAACTGGCCGATCCATTGACTGATCACTTTTAACAGACAGGAGTGAGGGTGCTGGAGATGGTGCTTTATCTTGTCTCAGACTGTCAGAGTACCAATTTAGGTTATACACAAATATCACAATGACAAAATAAAATGCTCAGAATCTTTTAGAGAAAACAAAATATATAAAAAAAAGCATCAATTCTCATACCGTTTAACACTGTAAGGCTGTGTTCTGTATTTGAACGCAATCGGTCGATCCATTGAGTTGTTGCTTTTTAAAGAGAAGTTTGAGGTTGCAGGAGACGGTGCCTCATCTGGTCTTAGACTGTCAAGATGTCAAAATTGAAATTCAACAATGTGCAAGAGACATACAAATTCTGCAAGACAAGAACAGTTTTACAACTAATATTTTTGCCTTATGCATACTCTGATACTTATCATACCTAATGTAACTAGGGGTTTCATTGTTGAACGCAATTGGGCGATCCATTGACTGATCACTTTTCATAGACAGGTGTGAGAGTGCTGGAGATGGTGCCTCTTCTGATCTCGCCCTTTGGAACATGGAGAAAAATATGGGATTGTTATAGGTCATTATGGATTTTAACAACCTAGAATGCATTAAGTGTGCTGGAGATGGAGCTTTATGTGGTTTTAAACTTTTAGGAAGAGAGAAAAACAAGCTTAACATATTGCATAAGAGATGCCAAACAAGTGGTTTTGTAAATAATAAATTGTCTTTATTATACAACACACACACTATCTTTAACCCCCTGACAGAGTAAATTTTCATACTTCTCTCCCATGAAACTTTGCTCCATTGTTGAATGCAGTCTGTCTATCCACTGACTGATCAATTTTTAATAGACAGCAGTGAGAGTGCAGGAGATGGTGACTCATCTGGTCTCACCCTTTGGTACATGAAGACAAAGTTGAAATAATATGTTAAGTACATGAAATGCCATTAAATGGAATTGATGTTTCAAAATATCCTCTAAATACTCTGAGGGACATCAATTCAAAAGCTAGAATTTGTCTAGTATTTAAAGCTACACCATGTACATTTTGTTTTGTTAGAAATAAACAAAATGTCCTTAATGAGCGAGCACATAAAAATTTCCAAACTGTGTTTTTTTCTTACCTCATCTCACTATGGTAAGCCTACAGTAATGATTTATATATTAGAGCTGTCAGGGCAGATTTTACAACATTTTACAGATTTTATGTCTGTGAATAAAGAAAAGAAGGTCCGGCTACTGAAGGTGAAAGGCATGTGCATCCTTTTTTATTTTTTCGTAATTACTTTTTCTTTGGTGAGGGAGGGGTGGATGTTGATGTTGTTAGTGACATTCTCTCTGATAAGACAATCACCTGTAACAAAGGCTAAACTGGTCTCACAAAATTACCAAAGCAATGTTACTCTGCAAGTCATTTGCAGTTTCATGCGTCAACTGCTAGATGGCCAAATGTTACACAGTGTAGCTTTAAAACTTAGTCTTTATGACAATTACGCTTAGGCAAGGGTATGAATGTGCTGAAGCTGTTGTTTCATCTGATCTCAAACTTTCAGAAAGGGAGAGAAAACAGGTTTAACAATATACAAGAAACTATGCAAGATTATCATTGATATAAGTTGCCATTTTTTTCCTTACACCAATAGCACACTACATATAAATATATATAAATTGTCATACTTCTCTTCCATATGACTAGAGGTTCCATTTTGAACACAATCGTTCGATTCAGTGATGGATTGCTTGTTAGAAATGGGTATGAGAGTCATGAGGAGCTTCATCTGGTTTCACCCTTTGACACACAGAAAAAATGAGATTATTCTCATGTAATAATGGATTGTTGTACACAGCACACTCTGGCAACAAGCGATTTATACATGAGATACAAAAATGAAACTAATAAGAGTGGCAGATTGTAAAACAAACACATGTTTGTGAAAATCCTGTCAATGTAATGTAAATAAAGCCATTTGTTTAATATACGTAAACATGAAAAACTCAATGTGAACTGCAAAATGTTATTAATAATAACAATTCACACATAATTTCAAAGCAAACTGGTTATGTTCTGGACAAAAATGTATTAATTAAAAAAAAAAATGACCAGACAACTATCTGGACTATAACATTTTGGAAAAATATTATATTTATTCACTTTTTTATTCAATGCAGAAGTAGGTTGTTTCTACTGTTAGCAGTGTTGGGCAGTAACTAGTTACTAGTAACTAGTTACAATAATAATATTACTTTTTGGAGTAACTAGTAGTGTAACTAATTACTATTAAGATTTCATTAATAATATTACAGTTACCATCCATAAAACAGCTTTCATTTGAAATCCAACAATCCAATAACATGAAGTCACCAGTGCATCAGGAAAGCTTGGAATATGGAAAAGCTTACATTCAGGGGATGGAAATTTTGCCATTACACTGATTTTGTCAGGAGAAAAGATGCGTAAGTTGTGGCATTACTTTACTTTGGCATCACATGGCTTGACCACCCACATCCCTCTGACCCCAATATAAATTATATTACTATAATTAAAAATCTTATAAACTTATGTGATTTCTTTTGATAAAATACTAAATTAAATAATAATATATGGGTAACAGAGAAATTATAGCTACAATTAGCTTCAAGCTCCACATGACAATTAATAGCCTACAACACTTTTACATAAAAGTCACTATCAATCACCATTGAGTGTTTGTAAAAAAAACTTCTGACTGCGATCCAATGTAGATTTTGGTCAAATGATGAGGCAGAAATATATAGTTAGTAACATTTGAGAAGAACTTTATGGGGAAGATAAACAATTACAACTTCTGTGGGACGTGAAGGAAAAGTAATGTAACTAGTAGTGTAACTAATTACTGTTGCCAGAAAGTAATAAGTAAAGTAATAATATAAATTTTGAAAGGAGTAACTAGTAACGAGTACTAAATTACATTTTCGGAGTAACGAGCCCAACACTGACTGCTAGTACAGCCTACTAAAGTTAAAGACATACTAAAGTCTTATTGTTAGCCATCAATGCACCGCATATAAAGTGTGGAAGCCTGACTGAAAGCCATGAAATGCTAAACTCATTTCAAATGTTTTGAAATAATCAAACATGGAAGTACTGTTGCCTCAAGAAACATGGAAGTACTGTACTGAGGCCCACTCCTAAACACTTTTACTTTCGGTTTGAACGGTCTGATTTTTCGACCTTAAATTACTTTCTACTAACGTTAGCTGAATTGGCAGAAACAACGTTGTACCCCTTTACATCTGGTAAACAAACCTTTCGTATCTGTATGTTTTTGCTGAATTGCACGTACAACCACTAACTTATATAGTATAGAAAGTTTACAGTGGTTACAAATCGTGATTCCTGCCGCGAGAGATTTAAAGACATATGTTTATTAGCTCCAGTGAAAACAAAAACTGTCTATGCGTCAGCATTGTTACCTCTTCTGTTACGATCGGAGATAAACCACCACATTCTGCTACTGCTGCTGCTTCGTCTTCTTCTTGTTTTACGGCGGATCGCAGACTTATAAGTGCATTACCCCAACTTTCTCTCAAATTTCTTATAGAGCTTCATCCGGTGTTCTCAGATTTTGTTACCTCCCACCGTAACAGACGGCGGTAAAGTTAGTTTGACGTTTGACATTCATTAGATATTCGGGTTTTTTGCCAATTAAACTCTTTGCAGCTTTTATGTTTTGAGCCCAAACTAACTCAGATAGACATAAATATATGCCCTTTATGTTGCACAAGGCTTAATTTCTAGGAATTAAAAAAAAAGAAGTAACCATTTAAATTAATTAAACAATTTAACTACGTGACATTATAATATAAAACCAATACTAAAATGTTCGGGAAAACATACCTGTTATCGCACAAAGCTCCGTTTTTGGAATTACAATTTTATGTTTTTTATAATAATTTTACAACTTTTAATGTATGCAATAATATAAATCCATTAAACGACAACACCATTTGATCTAAAGGTATCAAACAAACTGTAAAATATTCAGAATATTATTCCCTATAATGCACAAGTCTTGGTTTTCCAGATTATGCCTTTACTGTTTTTATATACAGTACTGAATCCATATTTGTCATGTTTTATATACTGTACCCACTTAAATTAATTAAACTCTTGACACCGTTTGAGATAAAGGTATCAAAACAACTATAAAAATATCTAAATATTATTCAATTTAATGCACAAGGCTTGTTTTTTCAGATGATGCCTTTACTGTTTTTATATACAGTACTGAATCCATATTTGTCATGTTTTATATACTATACCCACTTAAATTAATTAAACTCTCACACCGTTTGAGATAAAGGTATCAAA